ACCTTAGTAGTGACAGAGATATGCGGGAGTGTCAATGGCAAGAATTAGAATTGGCTAAAAACTCTTGGGGAGATAAATGGAGCATCATAGGGGATTGGAATGAAATTTGTGCTAGAGAGGATAAAAGGGGGGGGGGGGCAGAAACAGAAGTCCCAGTAGCTTGAGGGGATTCAATGATTTCATATTCAGAATGGGCATGGAAGAGCTAAAAATGGAAGGGTACCAATACACATGGGCCAACAACAGGGATTTGGAAGACTTTGTTGAGGAGAAGTTAGACCGTGCTTTTGCATCAGTTGACTGGTTGGATGAGTTCCACAATGCATCTGTCACCAATCTTTTTAGAAGTGCCTCTGACCATTCACTATTGTTGTTGGACACAGACATTAAAAAAACTCATTGCAAAAAAAAAGGTTTCACTTTGATAAAGGCTGGCTTAAAAGGGAAGGAGTAGATGCTGTTATTGAACAAGCCTGGTCTATCTCTGTGAGTGGCATTCCTTTTTTTCAAATTGAAGGAGAAATTCAAGGCAACTCGAGTGGCTCTTCTTTAATAGAGCTCACAGTTCAAAAGGACAAATCAGATTTGTACCTCTAACTTATCCAGAGGCTTGAGGCCTTGAGGAAATGGGGAGAGACGACCACTGGGAAGAATGGGAGGCTGTGAGGGCTGAACTTGATCAGGCTCATGAACAGGAGGAGCTTTATTGGCAACAAAGATCTCGGGTTCAATGGCTGAAAGAAGGTGATGGTAACTCGAAATGTTTCCATGCCTACACCAGACAAAGGAGGAAAATGAATTCAATCACTAGGCTTATTGCAGGAACAAATCACATCTGTCACACTCAAACAGAGATTGAAGCTCATATTTCTGACTAATTCAGAACCCTCTTCACTTATGAAGGCTCCATTGGGGGAGAATCCATCCTGCCTTTAATCCCTCATACAATTACTCATGACATGAATATTGCATTACTCAAAGGGGTTGAGGAGGAAGAGATTAAATCTGCTCTCTTCAGTTTAGCACCAAACAAATCTCCAGGAGAGGACAGTATGAGTGCTTTATTTTTTCAGCATCACTGGAATCTTATCAAAGATGATTTAATTGAAGCTATTAAAAGTTTCTTTGATTCGGGCTTGTTGCTGCATTACTGGAATAATACTCTTGTTACTCTAATTCCCAAATGCAAGAATCCTGAGCTTCTCAGTCAATATAGACCTACAAGCCTGTGTTGTGTTGTCTATAAAATTCTATCTAAAATCTTAGCTCTCAAATTGAAAGTGTGCTTTGAAGCCTGTATCAGTTCTTGTCAATCAGCTTTTCTCTAGGGCAGACAACTCATTGACAATGTGGTAATAGCCCATGAGGCTTTCCACTATTTGAATAGACATAGAAATAGCAAGAACTGCTTCATGGCCTTAAAGTTGGACCTCATGAAAGCAGTACAGACTGTTTTCAAGACAAAGAATCAACTTAGAGAAGTTCACTATCTTTTTCAGCAAAAACACCCCCTTGAGACTGCAAAACAGCATTACTGGAGCTCTTAGTGGTATCAAACCTCACCAGGCCACCAGGTACTTAGGCCTACCACTGGGTATTGGCAAGTCCAAAAAGAAAGCATTTGAGTATGTGTTGACTGCTGTCAGAGCCAAATTAACCAGCTGAAAAAACAAGCTTTTATCACCTGCTGGTAAGGAAGTCCTGATCAAGGCTGTTCTTAGTGCCCTCCTTATTTTCACTATGACTTGTTTCAAGCTCCCTGTTTCTATAGGCAAAGAGATCTCTAGACTTTGTGCATCTTTTTGGTGGGGTAAGAGGGAGAACCAGAAGAAAATTACACACTGAAAGTCTTGGAAGCATCTGTCTATCCCAGAAACTGAAGGTGGCCTTGGTTTTCAAGACATAAAGCTGTTTAATGAAGCTATGATCTGCAAGCAACTCTGGAGAATAAATTCTCAGCCAAATCTCTTAGTCAGCAAAATTCTGAAAAGCAGGTACTACCCAAACTCTTCTATCTGTGGGGCTATTAAATCTCAGAGTAGTTGGCTATGGAACTGGTGGTTGGGCATTATTCCACTATTTGCTCAGGGATTTAGAATTGAGATTAGAAATGGGGCCTCCACAAAAATTGAGGATATCTGCTGGATTCCTAAATCTCCTTTGATGAAACCTTCTCTGATGGATTTAGCTAGAGGACACTTAATCTGGGCCAAAGACCTTATGTGCAGCAATGGAAATAGTTGGAATGAATGGATGGTGAATCAAGTCTTCAGACCCGAGGAGAGCAAAGCCATCTTGGAAATTTCAACTTTGAATCCTAATAGAAGTGATAGAATGTTTGGTGTCTGGATAATAAAGGAAACTTCTCTGTCTCTTCCTCATATGCTCTAATCATTCATAAAAAAGTACAAAGCCTGGATATCCCAGAGTGCAGCTTAAACAAGAAGCATGTGGTGGCAGCAAGATCAAGGAGTTGGCACTTGAAGATTCATAACAAGCTTAAGCATTTCCTTTGGAAATGCTTCTCAGGCACCCTCCCTGCTAAAGTTTGTCTGGCCAAGAAGGGGGTGATACTTGATGTTATCTGCAAAACTTGTAAAGAAGCCCCTGAATCCATTGAACATATCCTTTCTCTTGTGAAAATGTCAAGAGGCTTTGGAAATTGATTCATGTGCAGTGGGATAGCATTGAACAAGCAGGCACCAGTTTTTCTTCATGGTGGTGGCATATCTGTGCTGCAGGTCAATCTGAAGTCTTTGAAGAGAGAATCCATCTCACCACCTATATGCTTTGGTGGTTGTGGAAAGCTAGGAACCTGTGGCTGTTTCAAGAGACCAAGCTGCCAGTGAAGGTGTTGCTGTCTGCACCTATCAGAGACTGGCAGGAATTTTCTTCTTTGTAGGCTTAGTTTATTTCCTTCCCTTCTCTTTGTTTGTCTTGTGGTTTGTTGTTGTTTTTGTTTTTCTTAGCTGTGAAGTGAGCTTAGCTAGGCATTTGGCAGTGGTTTAGTAAAATTCCAATTTAGTTTTTTAGCTGTTATTTCCCTTGATTGGGTTTCAAGGCCACTTGTTGCGTGTCCTCCCAATTTGTATTTTCGGCTTTTGGTCGTGTTTATTCGAACTACGTTCGCTTTGAGTTTATATATTACCTCTTTCGTTTCGAAAAAAATATATATTTTTTTAATATTTTATTTATATATATATATAGATAAAGAAATATATATATATATATATATATATTTATAGGTTTAAAAAAATCAGGGGGGCCCGCGGGTCCCCCTGGGTCCAATACAAATTTTTTCCTATTTATGCCACCAAAAATCTACAGTCAACTTACAAATATCTATGCATAGTCCAACAAGTGTCACAAAGCATGACATTACAAAGACAAGGAGTACATTGAGCACTGATTTTACCAACGCCTCCTTTTCAGCAGTGGATAGGAAGTTATTCTCCAGCTAGATATCATGTTTATTATAGTATCAATAACAAATTGAAAAGACTCTCTTTTTTAGGCCCCAATTTCCAGAGGTACGCCTAAGTACCTTGAAGATTTTTTGATAACCACTCCTCCGAATATAGAACTAATCCTCTCTTGCAGCTCCACTGGGCAGTTCCTACTCAAGAACATTGATGATTTGTGCAAGTTGACCTTTTTTCCAGCAGAGGCTTGATATTTCTGAAGAATGTTAAGCAATAGAAGAGCATGATGTTCAACTTCTTTACAGAAGACTAATGCATCATCTGCAAACAACATATAGAAGAGCATTGGTCCTTCCTTAGAAATCTTAATCCCTCTGAACTGGCCTCTACTCACATTATAAGTCAGAATGGCAGAAAATAACTCAGAGACAAGAATGGAGAGATATGGTGATAGTGGATCACCTTGCCCGATTCCTCCAGAAGGAGTTATAAAACCACACACCTCCCATAGAGATTGAAAGAAAATGAAGTTGTTGAGACACAAGCAATGATCCAATATTTGATGAACTTGGCATGAAATGCCATTTTTCTCATAGTTCTACTTACACAGTCCCATTCCACACGATCATACAATTTTTTCATATCTAACTTCAAAGCCATGAATACACTCTGCCCAAACCTGTGCCTATTTAAAAAGTTAAAAACTTCATGAGCCATCACCATATTGTCAAGCAGTTGTCTTTCGGGAACAACTGCAGTCTGAGCATGGCTGACACAATCATTCAAGAAGCTTTTAAGTCTCTCAGCTAGCACATTTGCAATAATTTTATACAGAACCCCACAAAGGCTGATTGGTCTGTAGTAACTAAAAACTTTGTATGTATATTTATATGATAAATATTTATTATGAGATACAATATTATTAACATTTTGATGTACAAATTTTATATTTATAATATTTAATTTTGTTACTTTTATGTATATTTTTATGATAAAAATACAATACATATAATGTATAAAATTTTAAAATTAATTATCCGGTTCATCAATTGACCCAATGACACGGCGGTTGAACCGATGACGTGGTGACCCAGAGACGTGCCGAGTCGATTCCCAAGCCGGGCTTAAAAACTATGATGGTACCTTAATACTATAATATTTCATTGAGATAAAACATGCCAAATAATCTCATATGCCATCTAACTTAAATATATGTTTTCAATCATACAAGTAAATGTTGAAAACTGCAGACAATGTCTTAAAATTTCTATTTAATTTGCCAAATAGTGTTATCCACCTTCTCAAACTATGTTATCATAGCATAAAACTGGAACAGTCTCAAAAGAAAACCACAAACTAGATTAATACACAACATCAAGAGTTAAATACAAAACAAA